AGAAATGCGTGGACATCCCGGGGCACGAGTGTGTTCCGGACTACGAAGCCCCGCAGAGAGTTCAGACTGACGAGAACTTGGTGGGGTCCAAGCCGGAGACTCGGAAAGAGTCTCGGCTGACGCTCGACAAAGGTGACGACGAGCGGAGAGGCGACTGAGAGCGACATCTACGAAGCATAATTTCTTCTCCGTTGCCAACATGTTCGCAACCCAGCGAGAAGCAACTCAAGCAAGCAACCATAAAATATGCATTTATCGGCACACCATCACATCGAAAATTATTCCCACAGCACTTTCTTTTTGTTTTATTCATCAACCATTCTTTATATACAATTTTTTCTCATTTCCTCTATAATGAAAATGTGAAAAGGACAGCTTTAATTGTGTTTTGGGCGAAAAATTTGAACACCTCATCCAGATTCCTGCTACTATAAACTGAGTCGGCAGAATTTAAATGAAATAAATTTAAATTTAAATGTTGAATAATGAATCGCTGTTTCTAAATTTAAAATACAGTAATAATATTGATGAACGCCTTTTTCTTAATTGTGATGAAGGTGTACCGGTAAATTTTAACCAAGTACTGTGTATTTTCTGTACTAGATCTTGAAGAATCTCTAACATTATGTAAATTTTGTTTGGAGATTCTGCCTGAATCAAGGCTGAAGGTGCTAAAAAAAATGACCTGCATATTTTATCACTTACTAACACTGTATTTTCATGTCATTAGTACAGTTAAACCTTGCTAAGTCAAAGCTCCCAAAGTCAAATACCTCCCTAAGTTAAAAAAAAGTTTAAAGTCCACATCAGAATTCCCTTAGAAACAATGCCTTGAAATGCTTTAAAAGGATGTAACAGACAAAATTGGGCAAATGAACCCCTGTCTCCAACTTGAGGGCCCTGTCAACTCATTTTAGATGCAATTTAAGGTTCGGAATGTTTAAATGTACAATTTAGTGCAATTTGTCAAGATTTTCTGCAATGAAAATGTTTGATTCTATGAGTCAAACATCTATGATTCTGCATAACTCAAAACCTCCTTAAGTCAAAACCTCCCTAAGTCAAATTTTTCTGCTGGTCCCTTGAAATTTGACTGTAAAAAATGGTCCAAAACAACATTTGTATTTTAGAGAGAAGAACATAGGTAAGCCATAAATGCAAAATTTGCAGCACATGTAATTTCAATTTTTAACTGATCTTTATTGCAATTTTGTTTTGTCCAGCTTTCACTTTAATTGCTCAATCAAATGAGAATTGAATATCTGAGCATGTAGTATTTCTTGCGAGAATTTTTTATTGAATATTTTCTCTATGCAAATTTTCCATTTAATTTTTTTCCATACAATTTTCTATATGTTTGTGCAACATGAATGCAAATTTACGTATTCCAATAATTTATTTATCAGCACGGGTTCTCCGTCTGCTGTGATGTAACAACAACATGCAAACAGCAGATGCAAAATCACCACTAATAAACTCACAAGTTCTACTTCATTTGAATGTCTGATCGTAAGAGATTCATTGCTCAAATTCATTCCTCAGTCCTTGTCTGGAAATCGGCACATTGAAGCCAATAATCTGCTGTAGCTCCATCCGCAATCTAGTTGAGAATGGCTGCGCAAAAGGAAACATAGAAGGAAACACTTGAACAAGTATTTGTCAAGTGATTTTATATTGCCAAAATTTACCTTGGACAAATCTCCTCGCCAAATACACGTCCACACCAGTTCCACTAGTGCCACGAACATTGCCAAGAAAGCCACGATGATAACTGGTACGAATATTCCTCCTGAAATATTGAAGATGACATTTAGTCAAAAATTTCCTTTCGAAAATGTTTCTTGATAGACACGTTGGAATTTTCATCAGGCAAGCAAATGCATCATGAGGTTACGTCAGCTGAAATAAATGATGTTGCCTTTCAGTATACATTGTATGCTTCACGCGACACCTATACTTAACAATACCAAAACGAAGTGTAGGCTTTGGAATGAGAACTCATAGTGAAATGTGATTTCAGGTGTTATTTGTATTGTATTACACTGATAACCTTGGAAGTGGACACCCCACATGTCAAATACCTCATTTCAAAATTCCATTGAATCCCTGTCTGTATTTCAACAATATAATACTGACAGTCCCCTTCAAATTATCTATAACTTGAATTTCTTGAGGCCTCTATTCTGGGGACACAGGAATAAAAAATGAATGAAAATATAACTTGATGCTTCTCAAAAGCAAGTGAGTGACTAATCGAGAAAAATGTACCCTTGCCTCATAGTTCAACATCCTGTCAACTCCTTAATCCAACAATTAAGGCCAAGAATATCATCAATTTTACCATCCAGTAATTCTTCAGAATTTTGCAGTAAAATTTCAGCTTCCCTAACATGAAAACTTCACACCATATTTATTCAAGTACCACACGCCCTCAATAAATAAGTACAGGTGGTACCTCACAATTCAACCCTCATCGGTTGCCAAACTAGGGTTGAATTGTTAAGTGGTCAAATTGCAAGACACTTTGTGAAAATCAAAAATATCCAAGCAGAAATGCAAAAAAAGTGGCCAAAGTTGGTCAAATTGCAGGGCACGTGTAAAATTGCAAGTCAACCTTGCTGGAAATTGGACTGTCAAATTGTGGGATGGTTGAATTGCCGGAGGCTAAATTGGGAGGTACCACCGGTATTGTGCAAGGGTTCTTCAGTCAAGTTTTTCAAATAATACATTATTCCTGATTAAGATGCACGCCCAGTTTTTAGTGACTCTATATTTTAAGAATAAGAACAACCAACCTTGAATTTCCTCATGATTTGATCTGAGTGCAACTAATCTTCAATTATTTCCATATTGCAATACCTTTTTTCTGTTTTCTTAAATTGGTCCAAAATTTCCCATTAGAATAGGAAAAAATGCACATCTCCTTCTAAAACTATTTACAAATTTATGAATGCCTATGATGAGCACTCCCATTCTACTGCTCAATTTTAAGAAAAATAAGTTGCATGTGGTACTATACTCGAGTAGATACAGATACAATTGTTCTCTTGAATCCCTCTGAGTTTGATTTGAATAATAGTATAAGTTTGCCGGTTGTATAAACAGGAATCACTGCTTCGTGGTTTTTCATCCACATTTTTAGGTAATTTTGATAAACTCACTGAGGTGTCCAGCATCAATGGCATCAACCCGTCTGTCCTCGTCCGACTTCCGGTCACAGTTTTCAGAAGTTGTATCATGCCACCACTTGGTGTACAGTGCTTGAACGGCGCCTTGTTCTTGCAGTCGCAGGATCGCAGCACTGATGGCATGCGTGTACAAGGACTTCTTTTGCAGAGCAAATCCGTAGCTTCTCTGCCCCAATTCCGGTCCAATTTTGACCAAATCGCATTCGCGATGAATGAGATAATCCACTGACAGGGTTTCCGCGAAAAAAGCGTAGCGCCCGTTGCCATCTCGAACTCGTTGGATCCCGTCCGCCAAGGAAGTTGCGAGCCAGTCCGGATGCTTCTGCATTTTTTCCCACATCAGCTTGATTTCTGGGACCGTACTCGACTTCCGGGTGGGAAAAAAATTTGAAAATAAAATTCAGGATGGTTCCTGAAGCCGCGAAGTATCCCTGTACGTATTTTCTCAAGAAACATATCCGCAACATTTTNTAATTTGCCTACTTGAAAATGCATCAATTAACATTAAGTTGTCAGGATGGCTGAGCGGTCTAAGGCGCTGTGTTCAGGTCACAGTCTGGTTCTGCAGGCGTGGGTTTGAATCCCACTTCTGCAATCGTTTTATCATTTTTTTCATTTTTTTGTCCTCACTGCGGACGCTCTACTACTTGATTTTTAGGATCAATCCATTTCTTGCCTACTTTTGTAATCCTCAATTACAAAATATGGTAGCATAGGCATGAGGATGTGATCTGAAAATAAAATTAATTTCTCAAACATCCTCAAGTACATGTTGCATCTTCTTATAAGTATTTATGGAATTATTTTGTTCAATGCTATAATTGAAAAATTCTCTTCCCAAAACATGTAAAACTGGGGTAAACTGCTTATGCAGAGATACATTTTGTGCAAATTTCATTTAAAAAAAGCTGAGGTGCGCTACATATACTCAAGGGCACGTGGTACTCTTGTAAATATGCTATTCACTTGCCTTATTAAAATATTTTCTGAAGTCATTTAAAAAAAACGTTAAGTATTATACAGTTCCTGATTTTATTCTATGAGCATTCAGAAACTCGAATCATCACAGCCATTCTGGTTCTAAGTCAATCGTCTTCATTTTCAATCTTTTCAAAGTCTCAGGGTGAGTTTCGGCTAGCTGACCCATTGGAAACATACACGAGGATGTAAAAATATTTTCAAAATGGCGCTGGCAGATGAATAAACGCAATGCAATTATTTAACCCAAAAAATGAAGAAAGAACTTCGTTAGATTTATTCTTCAACATGGCTTTTATACAAAAATTAAAAAATAAAATGATGCGTTGATCAGACCGAGATGTATTTCACACCCAAAAGTTTTAGTTTTCATCGAATGCTTAGCATACAGTACTTGAATATCACGAGTCGTTGAGACGCAATCCCGAGTTTCTGACGTGAGTGAGCAAAAAATTGCTGGCAAATTTTTCGAATGAAATTAAGTGACTTACCTTGAAGAAGGACTCAGTGCTTCCCCCTCGTACTAAACCGACCTGCACGTAATCTTGGTTAATCATGTCTTTCCAGGTTTTAATGCGTGTGGCGTAGTGAAGAGTGGTGTATTTTTCAGCGACCATGCTCACGTAGATTGCAACCAGGACAATGGAAAAGATCCACCAGAAGAATGTCAGCAACCTTACGGAAATTGCCTGTTGACCCATTTGGTACCAGTGAGACAAAATAAAATCGGTATGAACCATCCTAATGCATAATAAACCCTCTTGAAATGATGAGCCTTTGTATCACAGCAAGGAAAACACGAATTGTCCAAAAACTCCTGTTGGTTCATCATTGGAAGGAATTTGGCAGAGGCTGAATACCGTTTCAAATTTTAGTCAGCTGACTTATTCAAGGTGCTAACAAAAATTTGAAGCAAGCTTCTATTGGGATTATATTTCTTGATTAACCCTTGGGTGGCAAAGTTGGACTATTTTTGCGAAATTTTGTTGCACCTCAGAGAGGTCAAGAAAAAAATGAAAACAGGTGGTGAAGGGCAAAAATGGGAAATATCCTGACGTTTTTTTCCCTGGGGGCAGAAAACTTTTTTGGGAAAATTAAAAAAAATGCTCAGGGAGGCTATGGGCTTTTCTTGGATTAATCCCAACTTTGTCTCAGCCCACCTGGAAGGGTTTTCCTGACCTTCTAAAAACTTAAAATGAGGGAGCATAAGAAAATAATCCAATTTTGTCCTGCTATGGGAAAGAACCCTCTGCCGTCCAAGGGTTAAATGTCCATTTCAGTGCTTTCATCATTTTTATTCATCTATGGTGAGTTGAAAAAAGGGGATTCATATCCCAAAAGAAAAAAGAAGGTTCATCATATTAAGAAGCTTTTTTATATTTTTCCCTGGTTATGCCAATCATTTTCCTGAGGATACTGAAAATTTGAGACTGGAAAAATTTAGACAGAAAATTAGAGACAGGGCCAATTCAAGACAGGGACAAATTGAGACAAAAACTATCTTAATGAGGAGAGGAATCTGCTTAGGTTGGATAAAAGATAGAGATTTTCCTTGATGAGGAGAACTCACTTGACTCGGATGATGGACAAACTGGAGAAACACCCTGGGATCATGGACATTCTACAAAACATTTCAATTTTTGTTCATTTTCACACCTTAAATATAAAATAAAAAGGAGAAACCCCGGCAAGTTATTTTGTCTCAAAATGTATCAGTCTCAAAATTTCTTGAATTCTCAAAATGTATTTGTCTCAATTTGTCCATGTCTTGAAAAGTGTCAGTCTCAAATTGTCCCTGTCTCCAAAAGTATCTGTCTCAATTTGTCCTTGTCTTTGATTGGTCTTGTTTTGAATAGGCCCAGTCTTGATTTGTCCCGCTCAATTTTTCCTAGATCCATTTTTCTCACATTTACTCCTCAATTTGCATGCAAAATCACATCCCATTTTCCAAAGGCCTAAAACCAGAAACCAGGCTTTTTAAATGAGACACCACATTACCTGATTATATAAACCAGTGCTCCTCAACCTTTTTGGGCCAGCAGACCAGCAAATTTTCATAAAATTTCCTGCAGACTGGCAAATTTTCATGAACTTTTGCAGGCCGACAGAAAATTTAAATACAGTACATGCCATGAAGTCCTCGACAAAAATTTTATTCCAAAAATGTATTCCAGTAGCTACAGTGGAATGGCTTCAGAAAAACTTATTAAGCTGGTCTTCAAGAAAGGTTTCTCAGAATGAAAACGTGTATGATTTATTCTAGCCTGTAA